TCCCTCTGCATCTTCTGGAGGTATAAAGCTCTAACCTTGATGCATATTTTGTTTAGATCTTATTTAAGCTTAGATTTGTACTCTTTTTGTCCTAAAACCTTGATCTTTGTGAGTATGGAATACTCTATAGCTTTTGTGTTGTCCTTTCAGACATTTTAGGATGTATAGTGTCATAAAAATTCAAGCTTGCTCCTTGGTTTTCATCCATGCAAGAGTTATCGAAGTCTAGATGATGATTTAAGTTGGGTTTTGGTTTTTAGCTTACTTCTTTCCATGAAAAGGCATAAAGGTTACAACTCTTTGATTTTAGACATTTGTTGGAGTTAGATCTGAAGTTTGGACGTTAAGTATTAACACATTCAGACCTCATTTGAGAGTTTTAATTTCAGGGAATTACGCTGGGCGTAGTGCTATGTACGCTGGGCATAAAGGGTTTCGACCTCATAAATCTTCCAAGGCTCGATGGTCCACGGGGCATAATATGGAGTATGTCGGGCGTACTCCCAAAATCCCATTGGGCCATTTTTGGGCCTTGGCCCAGTAGGATTTTTGGACTTGTTTAGCTAGGCTAGGAATTGGAAGGGCAAAATGGTATTTTTCCTTTAATAATGTTAATGGAGTCGTGTTAGAAGTAACACGTGTGTGAGATTTAGTTACCTTCAGCTAGAGGTGAGTTTTCTTACCACACTAGTGGGTCGAAGGTACCAAGGCCGGCTACTGATCTGTATATGTAGAATGTGTACGATAATGTGATTATTGTTTATGCATGGAGCCAATTTGGGCTCGGATTCATATAGACTCGGGGTTGATACAAACTCGACACAACAATTGATGTTGCATAGGGTTGATACGAACCTGATGGTTGTTAAAGACCTGACACAACCACATGCTGTTGTATTTATGTGTATTGCTTATGTGGTATTTTAGGGAAGATCACTAAGCGTTATGCTTAAAGATATGTTTTTGGTTTCAAGTTCTTCCAGTTCAAAATGGAAGATCCCGGATTGATGGCACAACATTCTCCCCCCATGATTTCCGCATTTTATGATTTCTGTTACTTTGATGTTTGTGATAAGTTGTATTCTGTGTACTTTCGATACATGTGTTGTTTGGATTAATAAACTGAAAAATGAAATTTTTACTTATGAATTTTGGGTCGTTACACACATACCCATCAATCTAATTGGATGCTTATACAAGATATTTGCAAAAATTCTAGATAATCGCCTAATAGGGGCCATCAGATTGGTTATTAATGAAGTGCAATCCGCATGTATTGAGGGCAAAAATATTCTTGATGGACCTTTCATCATGAATGAAATATATTCTTGGGCCAAAAAGTCAAAGTCGTCAATGTTCCTTTTCAAAGCAGAATTCGAGAAAGCCTTTGATTCGTTAAATTAGGGTTACCTTGACTCGATAATGGCTCAAATGCAGTTTGGTTAAAAATGGAGAAAGTGGTCTCTAGACTGTCTTTCTTCAACGCATGCTTTGGTCTTGGTAAATGGTGCTCCTAGTGTCGAATTTCCTATATCTAGGGGAGTAAGACAAGGTGATCCATTATCCCCATTCCTTTTCATCTTAGCTATGGAAGGACTATAAGTCGCTCTTATAGGTGCTACAAACAAACTCCTCCTTTGTGGTATAAACCTTCCATATTCCAGGCTAATGATATTGCACATACTCTATGTAGATGATGCAATTTTTTTTAGCAATTGGGACTATAACAACATTCACAATCTTTCCAAATTTCTGAAGTGTTTCTAGCTTTCTTCTGGTCTTAATGTCAACTTCTACAAGTCAAGATTATTTAATATAGGTATCCCCGATTCTGAACTGCATCACATGGCCTAAACTCTCGGGTGTGCAAAAGGGTTGTTTTCGTTCACTTATCTCAGCAAACGTGTTGGAGGAGATATGTCCTTGAAAAACACTAGAATCCAATAATAGAAAAGTTTAAAGCTAGGCTCTCATCATGGAAAGAAAACACTCTCTCACTTGGAGGTAGATTAACATTGATCAAAGAGGTGTTAGGAGGTCTACCTACCTACTACTTCTCTCTCTTTAAAGCTCCGGCTGATGTAATTGAATTCCTGGAAAAATTGAGACGTAAATTCCTATAGGGAAGGGGAGATCACAAAACTAAAATACATTGGGTCGGCTGGAATAAAGTGGTGTCCAAAAAGAAGGAGGTCTTGGTGTGGGTAGTCTCAATTCACAAAACCTCTCTCTTCTAACTAAATGTTTGTGGAGGCTAAAGAATGAAAGTGAAAGTATTTGAGCAAAGGTCAAAAGTAGTATTCACAACTTACATAGACAACTAGTTTCACATATGGCACAGAAGAACTCAAATGGGTTGTGGTGCAACATATCTAAAGCGACACTGAGCTTAAATGATCACACTATACTTATGAAAGATTGTTTTTGTCTTCTTCGTGGTTGTGGCATCAACATCATTTTCTGGAAAGATGTATGGTGCGGGGAGGAAACCTTACAATCTTGTTTTCCCAATCTCTATAAATTAGAATCTGTAAAATCATGTAGGCTCATGGAAAGAATTTTCAGCACATGTTTTACCTGGAGATGGAAAGCGCACCTGACAAGCGATGTATCAAAAGCATAACTCCATGAATTTCATTCCCTGATATGTTCAATGAACTTCAATTCTGAAACTAAATATGGTTTCGCTTCAATCATGATCCTGATGGGAAGTACTCGGTTGGCACAATGAGAAAAATGATTGATTCACATCTCATCCAGTTCACGGGCCAGCCCATTTGCTGGTTAAATGTCATTCTATTAAAAGTGAGATGTTTCATTTGGAGAGACTGTCTAGGCAGAATCCCAATCGCTGAGACTCTTACACACAGGGATATTACTGTCAAAGATTTTAATTGTCAACTTTGTAACCAAAGGCAGGAATCAGTGAATCATCTATTGGTCGACTGTGAATTTGCAAAAGCTGTGCAGTTGTGGATTTTCAAATGGTGTGGGATCCACAGTGCAAACTTCACAACAATAAGGGAATTTGTTGATGGAGCAACATCCTGGGGAAACTGTCCAAGCAAAAGGCAAGTTGGTATGGTGATCTGCTACTCGATTCTGTGGAACATTTGTATGACACAAAATGAGAAAAACTTTAAGAATAAACGTACAACTCTAACAAAAACGATGTATTTTATCATTCTACAAACATACGAATGTCACAAATATAGAGGGACACTTGTATGTGGAAGTTAGGCAGATTGGTGTTGCTCCCCTTTTACACACTTTATTACACAAGCTTTTGATTTTTTTGTTATTTCGAAATATGTATCTCTGTTTTCTCTTTCGTCTTAGCTACTTGCTAAGCGTTTCTTTGTTTTGTTCCTTTCACGATTTTGATTAATATTGTTCGCCGCTTCCAAAAAAACAAATTAATTAGAAATATTAATAGTTAATTAAGAATTAGTTAGAATTAATTTAGAAATTTATTATGGGTTAACAAAATTAATTAAAGGTGCAAGGGCTAACGTGGTTGAATACAAATACGTTTATTATAAAATAGGTGTTTATAAGAAATATATAAATATGTTTTTACAAAAGAAATATATACAAACACTTATTCTAATGCATATAAATATGTTTTTACAAAATGTATTAATAATAAAATAGATGTTTGTATACATTTTTTCTTGTAAAATACGTGTTTATATATATATATAGATATATATATATATATATATATTATATATAGATATATAGATATATATATATATATATATATATTATAAAAACCAGATTTGGATATATTTATGTACTTAATAAATATCTATTTTTATCAATAGGTATTTCGTACACAGAAAAGTTTTTTTTAAATACATAGAAAATATAAGATTTTTTATGTGAATTTTTTTTGTATAAATATGATTTTATAAAGAAAAAATATATTCGAATTTTTTTTTTGAGAAAAAATGTTTTAAAAAAAAAAATAAAATTATGATGAATTCAAAACAAAATTCTGAAATTTGAGCCAAAAAGGTAATTTTTAGACTAAATTTGTAATAAAATGTAAAATCTGGGCTAATAGTGTAAATTTTGGACCAAATTTGTAAAAGAAATTTGAAATCTGGCCAAAAGTGTAATTTTTCAAAGTTGGGTTATCTGTCGTCCGGATAAAAACCGATTTCTGGGACTTAACTGAATAAAAAAAATACAATGACTAAATCGATTATGAGCTTAATATGTATGAACTTTTTCTTGCAGTTTTTCTATAAAAAAAACCACTATCTAGGACTATGTATCCGAGACTAGCTAAGTATTAGCTAAATCGGTGTTGTATGACTATCACTGATAATTGACTAAGACTAAATGTGTCGGTGTTTGATATTTTTGTTTCTTGTAGTGTTAATGGGTGTACATATATATACCTCACCACTCACATCTTAACTAAGACAATTTTGGCACTTTTTTATAATTTCCTAATTGATAGTCACTAATAGACACCAAAACAATTGCATATTATTTATTACATAAACCATGACAATGCATTTTTAAATTTGCAAGTCTTCTTCACTGGTATGGGGACTTACCTTTGGAAAATGGCATAAAGCATCGAAAGATATGTTGCATACCCCTTCTAGTCACTCAGGTGATCGTTATATTTCATTTGGGACACATTCTCACTTTCAAGCATTTGTTTATGTAAAAGCTTTAAATGTATTTATTATATATGCTCATCGTAAAAATTTAGTACTACAAATGGTGTTCAATCTGGTCAACTCCCACAAATTTAGTACTACAAATGGTGTTCAATCTCGTCGACTCCCACTATGTAACATGTAACAAAAAAACACAAGCTTAGTAAAAAAATTGAGATTGAGACATAATCTAGATTCTTAACATCAATGTATTCAAATTCTTCACATATGTTAATACGTTCAAACAAATTACATAAACTAAGTAAAACAAGTCTTTCATTAAATTTTATATATATATATATATATATATTGTCGTTCAATCAACGACCACAATAAAGTAAAAGACAATTTTGACACTTGTACCAAAAACAATATGATAGAACGTATCAAATAACTCATCCTTATGAGCTCTGCATTCATTTAAATACGTGTTTCACTGCACCAGGAAGATGTGTATGCAAGAAATAATCTTCCCAATCAATCGTCTTTGGATCAAAATAGAAGATATTGGCTTCAACCTCATTTTCTTTAACTACTTGACGTAGTTTTTCAGTATTCATATCATCATAGCTATCAAAACAATGAATACAAATATTCTTAGAATCTGTTAGATTAGACAAAATAAAAGGCCAAATAATCAAATAAATAAAATAATTGATTAAGAAAAATAATAAAATGAGTTATTAAACGTAGTTATCGTATTTTGTTAACCTAAACTATATATATAATATATATTATATAATATATATATATATATATATATATATATAGATATATATATATATATATATACATTCAGTTATAGAATAATGATTTTTTTTAGAAAAGAACATAATAAAAGTTTATTTTTTCCCATTATAATAAATCAGATATAAATTTTAATTATATATAAGAAATGATATATAATTTTAAAAGAATCATGAATATTATCAAATTAAACTGATTCGTAAATCTCTTTTTTTTTATACTACACAATTTATGTTTTATAAAAATAAGGATATAACATTTTAAAACTATTTTGTTGTTAATGAAAAAAAGTATTGTGGACTATCAACTCTCTTTATAAAAAAGACATGTGTGTTTTATTAAATAAAGACTATCCTTTTTTTTTCCATTACATTATAACGAACACCGTCCTTCGATTTCAAAACTACGCAATCTCCATGATTACTAGATAAAAGAAATTGGTAACCAAAAGTCTAACAACTTACAAGCTTTTGGAGAACAAATAGGGTTGTATAACTCCACCACCCGTAGCACAAAGTTGATCTTCTTTTAAGATCCGAATAGGTTCCACTAAAAGCATGACATAACGCCGAATTCACCACTTGCAAACCCTGAAAATGAACATTAATGATTTTTTGAAACGGACTCGAATAAGTATGACTAAAGGAGGATTAAGACAAAGCAAACCTGTAGTGGAAGCAAGTACGAAGATTAAAGTATCTACGAAAGCTATCCATTGAGCTCACACTTTAACCTCGCTAACAATAACTGGTGTCCCATCTTTGTTAATCCATGGATTTTTGGAAAAATAATTATACGCATTTTTTTGAATTCCTTTATACTTCAAAGGATTTGATACGGAAGATCCAACATGATAGATTGTTTCACCAGGTTGGTTGCATGAGCTGCCATTGTCGCAATCATAGCATTCGCCACCATGTCTGCTGGTATCTGTTATCCAATATTTTCAACATTAGCAAAATTAAAATATATATATATATATATATATATATATTATATATATATATATATATATATATATATATATATATATATATTCATGATGGAACTACATTAACTAATTATGCATCAAAGGATAGCTAGCGAGAGCAAAATAAATATGAACTGAACTTGTTTAAAAGAACCTACCACATCGATTGTTGATTCAGGATCGCCGAGGAAACATGCTAACCTTCCTTTGCCATAGCCGACTGCCAAGCTGTCGATTGTCCTGTAATTTTCAAATACATAAATCTTTTTAATTGAGTTTATAAAGGAAACTTGAATTTTCTTTTTGTCCTTTATAAAGAAAGAAAGTAAAACTTCCATGAATTCATTCCTAAACGGTTTTACATTAATAATGAGGAACTACCTTATGCCTTCGATCCAACCAGGAAAGGGTTCTTTATACGTGCTAAGGATGATGGTTGGGCGAAGAATGACCAAAGGCATATCTCCTTTCAAATGCCCAAGAATCATTTCTCCTAATGCCTTCGTAAAAACATACGTATTTGGCCAACCAAATTTGTTTGCCCTATAATTAAATCAAAACAAAAAATAAAAGGTTTATAAATATATTTAAATAGATATATATATATTAGTAATTAATACTTGGCTGTACCTAAAAACGAAATAATATACTTAAGTACTGGAAATGAGAATGTATGTTGTTTTGAATATAATACATAGTGAAATGAAATTTAATAATCAGAATAAAAATAATAAAGTAAGTGATTAATAAAAAATGATGGTGAATATATAGAACCATTTTTTTTACCTTTCAATGCCCAAATCTTTCATGGCTAATGTAATAGATTTATCTGTAGATGTTTCATCAGCGCTAAGTTCTTTAAGTTTTTCTTCGATAATCTTCTTCTCCACATTGATGTCTAGTCCATCTACACCATTAAGCGCATCTCCCAAACGATATGGAGATTCAAGTATAAGCCCAGGCGTCTCGCCAGAAACATAAGCTGAATGAACGTAATTTTAATTTAATCAAGTCTGTGTTGATTAATTGGAAAAATAAAATAACAAAATAAAATTACAAAAGTGTAGATATATATACTGACCTGTAGATACATGCAGAAGCAATTTTATCTTGACGCACTTAGCAGCAAAATTATAAACATTTCTAGCTCCAAAAGTATTCAAAGCTAGGGCAATGTCATATCTGTATAAATAAATGATCAACGGATTGTTTAATTATGATTGTTATATATATAATATATATATATATATATATATAGATATATAATATATATATATATATATATATCTATATATATATGCGCATAAGTTTTAAAGTACGATTTTAAATAATTGTGGATGTTGATTTCTAAACTTTAATTCATCTGAAACAAACTTTAATATTTAATAATAATGGTTGGTGTACCTTTCATCAAAGTTAGTGGTTGCAGCTACATTGACAACAACATCAACACTTTTCCACATCTCTTGGATCAAATTGGAGTCTTTTATCCCCAGATTTTCATAAGTGATGTCTCCTGCTATCGGAGTAACTTTTTCCGATAAGAAAGATTGCAGATTTGTACCATACTTCTCTTTCAATGTCTTAAACAAATCCTTTGCCACTGCCTATATATTATTGAGAAAAAGTCAATGGATATATGTTAGAGAAAAAAATTAACTAAAAAGGGAAAGGGAAAGATCGAATTAATATGTTGAAGACGAAACTCCAATATTCATCATTTTGTTTAAAATATTAATTACATTCTTATTAAAATATAGAAAATATAGTCAATCCAACCGACCAATTTTGATATACATTTACAAGTTACCAATTTCGACCTATAATCCAACTGACCAATTTTGCTATACATTTACAAGTTACCTATTTCGACCTAATATTCAACGCGACCATTGGTCAATCGACACGAAATTGTTCATAATATATTACAAAATTTAAGTTTTTCAAAATGATAAAATGGATTATTCCACTATGAAGTATAACTCTTGTATTCTCTAAGTCAAATTTAAAATTATTTCCAACTTGAAATTTAATATTATTTCCATAATATTGCGAACATATATATGTCGATAACGAATTTAAAGAATTTATAGTTCTAAGTGTCTGATCAGGTCCCATTCGATTAACTATAGTAGGTTTATATGTCAGAGCATACTTAAATGACATAAAACTACTCACCGGCCCACATGAGCATTTTTGTTATGTGCACAAAAACAGGACGAATTATATTCACCAGTTATTATCATATCCCCTCACAGCTATTCACAAACACTCAAACAGTAGTTTTTTTTTTTTTTTTTCGCTTACCATGTTTATATATTATCATTGCAAATCATGTATACTCAAAATTATATATACCTCAGTATTGAAACGTTGCATGGCGGATTTGGCATCGGTAGCTCTTACAAGAAGATATAGCTTCTTCACATTTGGTTGAACCCTAAGTATCTTTTCCACAAATACTACAAACATATACACAAACGGAAGTTAATTAAACATCCCTACAAAAATCCAAGTTTTATGCAAAAAAAGAAACGGGACTTCCGCTAAAAGTATTTACAAGCCAGTCATCTTATAACTTATATGATCAGGGCTCAAGAAGTTCTCATTGAATGTCGTATATATGATAGATTCTAGACTACAAGTATACACTAAATGCACCATCCGTAACATGTTTGTAAGTAGGACGATAAGATGATCACGTGTCACGTACAAAAGTATACTTCGTTTCTTGATAACATGTACTTATTACTGTATTAACATTGTCCTGCGCATACATATATTTATACATGTATGCAGTACATACATACATAGCGAGAGAGAGAGAGAGAGAGAGAGAGAGAGAGAGAGAGAGAGAGAGAGAGAGAGAGAGAGATACTTTTGGCAAGAAAACCAGTGGCACCAGTGACTAAAATGGTCTTGTTGTCAATGAAATCAAGAATGCTACCCGACTCCATTTGTTACAAGTATGTATATCCAGTGATCACCCTTTCTCTATATGGAAATAACACACAACACACACACTCACACAATAGAGAGAGAGAGAGAGAGAGAGAGAGAGAGAGAGAGTTTGGAACAGAGAACTGGTGTGGAAGGTGATGGGATGCAAGCGATATATAAAGATGGAAATTTGGGTAAACTGAGGAAAGAAGGAGCCAAGTGGTGAGTAATATCAGGGTACACCCAATCAATGCTTTGTCAGATTAGTTTGGTAGAGATAGACAGAAATTTCGGTGCTTCATATCTAAACGCTCACAATAATTTCCACGTCGGCACTTTTGAAACTGGAAAAAGGTCGGTCTGAACATTTACGATTGCATCGACACATAAGGTTCTCCAAGTTTATATGTGAACGTAATCCCCTTCACAGTTCACATAACTCCGGTTAAATTTTGTCTTTTCAGAAGATGGGCATAATCTATATATTCACAGTAATGTACCATTTAAAGACTGAATTTGCAAATCACATAATAAAGTCTAAGAGAAAGATGTCAAAATTTGCTGATTTAATAAGGAGAGGCTTAATAAAAAACGTAATCACTATATATTTAAGCAAACTGATAGCTTATAATCTGATAAATTCTCTTGATATAATTTTTTTTTTTTTACATTTTATGGAGCATCTTAAAAATGAAAATGTTAAATTTGTGTAAAAGGTAAAGCGTAAACCAGAAGTAAATTAATAATGAAGAATTTCTATGACAAATTTAAAGATAGAGATTATATATCATTTAAAATTGTGTCTAAAACATAAATTTTCATTAATATGCATGTTTCATCCACAATTGCTCATAACTTATAATTAATTTCTATTTATTCTCAAATCACACACATCGACATTCAATCAAAGAGTGTAGACACATATAGTTGAACCACTTGAATATATATATATATATATATATATATATATATATATATATATATATATATATATATATATATATATATATATATATATATAGACACACACACTATAAGAAAAAAAGGAATTCGCGAGGACAAAAGTCGCCGATAAAGGCAATAGCAGCGGCAGGTCGCCGGTAAAAAGTCAATAGTACTGCTTTGTCGCTATTGCTCAAAATGTGTTGGTAAAGATATTTGGTTGCCACTAATTCTCTTGTCGTCGGTAATATCGTTTGTTGCCGCTAAGGGCATCTCCAACCCACCCCAAACTTCATTTCTTCCCCCATTCTTCTCCAACCCTACCCCATTTTCACCTACATTTTTTGAGATATGAATGGTATCCCCCATATAGGGAGGCATATATTCATATCTTCAAAAAGGGGAAGGTGAAGTTGGGTTGCCAATATTAGTCCCTCTCATTTTTATTTTATACATTTCTAGTTTATTTATCTACTAATTATAAATTTAAATGCAATATTTAATATTTATAATATCATGTTATTATATACTATTTATATTAATTAATCATAAATATAAAGTTTAATTAGTAGAGGGGTGTATTTGACACTCTATATAAGTTATAAAATAGAATATTCTAGGAATATACTTTTTTGGGTAAAAAATGGGGTAGAAAATAGAGTAGGGTTGGAGATGAATCACTATTTCCTCCATTTTCTACTCCATTTATGGGGAAGAAATGGAGATGGGTTGGAGATGGTCTAATGCTGGTCGCCGATAATAACATTTTAAAGCTATATATATATATATATATATATATATATATATATTATATCTATATATATATATATATTATAGATATATAATATATATATATATTATAAATCAACGATTTTTGGTGCAAAAAAACTGATACGTAGCAACATTAAATGTGAAAGAAAAAATAACATAATGACATCCGATGAGTTTATTTTTACTATTAATTTTTTTTAACAAAAAAATTTCATTAACAAGACACAGTCATCAACTAACCAGAAGCTAGCGAGATAAAAAAAAAGAACATATTTCATCCAATTGTCCTTATCTAATCTTTTCCCAAATAGTGTTATAATTAATTTCATACCAAAATAAACAACCAAATTTTATAATTCCAACATGTAACAAAGTGTCACAACAAGTCTAACATATAAAACACAAACTAATTATCCAACGAACCATCATCTCCGTTACCATCGTTTCCTCCTTGGTCTTTCCCCAATTGAAAAAACGCATAAGGTTCCTCCCTACAAGTCGGGTCGTTGAGCATTGTCCGATGATTTTTTTGTTGGGTTATGAGCAAAACAACATTCCTATGGTGTTCATGCAAACTCCAATGCTTGGATCTAGTTTTTCTATTTGTACATGCAACAATTGTTGTCACACCCCCAAACCGAGATGGAGGAAACGTTCGAGGGCGGAGGACGTCATGTTCAGGATCACAACAATTGAATAATAGTAATCAAAGCAACAACAACCATAGTATTAATAATATAACGTTTACATTGTATTCGGATTACAGATAATTGACCCCAAAGGTAAATAGCAAAAACATATACTAGAAGCTATTATGTTCCGTATTCTCGAGGCCCGTGCATGTATCTGACTAATGGTTTCGTGAGAATACAAGTAGTTTTGACAGAGTGTCAACAATTAAGTTGGTGAGTTCATAAGTATTTATGTTTAGAAGCTTGTTTATTTTCTTGAAATAGTAATCATGTTTGTTGTTCCAAAAAATCCAATATTTTCTAATATAACTGAGAAGTAGTTTTAAATACCATAAAACCGTTCTGTGTAATTACTGTTCTACTATATAATAATGTAATATAGTTTTAGTTTATAATAAAACTTTTAGTATAACCCGGTACTTTGTAGTTGTACCCCTTTAGTATAACCCGGTACTTTGTAGTTGTACCCCTTTAGTGTAAACCCGGTACTTTGCATTTGTACCCCGTTTAGTAAAACCCGGTACTTTGTAGTTGTACCCTGTTTTAGTGGAAATGAAACCTTTCGTAGTGAGTTCGTAGTGTAAATGAAACATAAACTATACCTATTATAGTTTATCATAATTTTTTGTAGTGTATATGAAACATAACTATACCTATTATAGTTTATCAAAATGTTCGTAGTGTATATGAAACATAAACTATACCTATTATAGTTTATCAAAATGTTCGTAGTGTATATGAAACATAAACTGTACCTATTATAGTTTATCAAATGTTTGTAGTGGTAGTAATCCTATGTATATGATTTATACCTTTTTACTAAGGTAAATGATATGAAATATAAACAACATGTATTTATATAATAGTACACACCTTGCTCAGCAAGTTATAAGGTGTAAATGGAATTGTTAACTAGTTTCTAGTTTTTAACTTTTCTGTTCCTGTTCTTATAAAAATTATAGAAAAATCATTTAAGGTCGAAATCAGAATCCGTAAACTCTGAGAGTTTAGAAAATGTGTCTAGTTTGTTCATAATTTTTATTATGATTTTTAGTGAACTTTAACTTGTGTGAAAATGTTTAACTTCAGAGACTGGTCCGAAATTGTTGCTGAAATGATAGGCAGTTTTGTAAAATTCGCCATAAATTGTAGAAAAATCGTATGAACTTGTGCAAGTAGTCATTAGAAAGGTATAAACCTGACTATTTGCATCTGGTACAGTTTTGAAAACTAAAAGGTTTAAGATGTTAAAAATAGTCCGTGAATGGAACTAAACTTTCCTGTTGAAAGCTGATGTTTGAGTTTAGTTAAGTTTTTGGTGTTATAACTTGTATCCCCCCCCCCCCTAAAACTTGAAGAAAGCATGAAAATGTAGGGATATGAACTCACCTTGAGTGATTTTTTGAGATGGATGTGGAAGAAAACAGGCTTCCAAGTCAAGAACACTTGGAGGATGCTTGAGGATTTGAAGATCCTAAAAACAAATATGACGATATTTGTATAAGAAGCCAATGATTTGAATGAAGCAGTGTAGAATATTCAAGATTGGGAATGAAAAACTTACCAAGAGTGAAGTAAAAGCAAAATGCTTCCTGGAGAATCTCGAGTTTCAGAGAGTGAGAAGAGTGGGAGGGAGAAAAAGTGTATTTTTGGAGGATGTGCTTGGGATTTTATAGGTAAGGATTGGAGATCCAATGAGTGGATTTAGGTAAGGAAATCTGATGGATTGTTGGAAGAAAGATATGGATTTGACTAGGTAAGGTGTGAATGGTGACATAAAGTTGTCATAGATTGGGTATGAGAGTGGTTGGTGTCATAGCTTCTTGGAAAGGTCAACACTCACAAACAATATCTTGTACAAAAGATATTATTCATAGTTAAAGAATTCCCCAAAATATGATTAAAATATGGATTTATGGGGTTTAATATGTTAAAATATGGGTTTGGGTGAAAATTCCCCGTCGAAATCATAAAAAACGAGCTTAAGAAGCGAAAGTGGTCGAAAACCGGAAAGAAAGAAGCGAACCTGCGAGGCTAGTAGCCTGATGCGAGGTTCGGTCCATGAGACCCAAAAGTGGGTTCGGTCTGAGAGGCTCGCAGGCGAAGTGGTCGAGTAGGAACCGAAAGTGGTGATGAACCGAGGACAGAAGGTTCGGTCTTCATCAGTTCGGTTCTTAGCAGTTTCGGTCCCTTAGCAGTTCGGTCCTAGGCAGTTTGGTCCCTAAGGTAGTTTCGGTTCTAAGAGGTTCGGTCCTTAAGGAGATTCGGTTCTTAGAGAAGCTTCTATTCTAAGAGAGGCTTCGGCCCTATATGGTTGTTTTTCCAATAATTTTCCCGTTTCGAGTGGTTTTTGACTAAGTTAAGGGTCGGGATGCCCCGAGTGATTATCAAAAGTTAAGAGAGATTTTGAGAGAGATTTAGGAGAGATTTAGGAGAGATTTGGGAGAGGTTTGGGATAGAGAGAGGTAGAGTGAGAGAGATTGAGAGAGACCATGTTTGTGACCTTCGTGTGTGTTTAGCTTCGAAATGTATGGTTTGTAAACCCCGTTAAGCCTCGTTATGAGTGTTATACACCCCCGAAGGGTATGTAATAGTGTTTCACCAAGTCGTTACATCACTTCCCTGATTAGGGTTTAAAATTTTCTAAACATGTGAAATTCCCAAGTGAC